GAAAGCATCCTGCTCCAGGACTTCAACCTCCATCTTCAGGAGGGAAAAAACACACAGACACAATTAATCCTCGATTCCCAGGAAAATATGGGAAAATATGGGAATGGGGGGGGAAGACAAAAACCCAGAAAATATGAGAAAATATGGGGACTATTTTTATTTGTGTGTATTTATTTGTGTGTCCTAATTTCCCTTTGCATCTCTGGGTATGTTTGACGAGGCCTGGGGGCGGACGGGAGGGCCCACAGGGCGGGAGAGGGGCGCGCACCACGGGCCACCGCCGCAGGCCGGCGCAGGCCCCCCCGCGCCGTGAGGACACCCCCGCCCGGCCGCCGCGCCCTCCCTGGGAACTCTTCGACGGCCTCGGCGGGCGAGGCTCTCCCCTCTGATGGGCCTGATTTCCACCACCACCACCACCACCATAAGTTGGAGGGGGAAGGGGTCCTCCTCCTCCTCTTCCTCCTCAAGGGGTCCTCCTCCTCCTCTTCCTCCTCCTCCTCCTCCTTCCCCCCATCCGACTTATGGTAGTGGTGGTGGAAAACAGGCCCATCACCCTCGGCTGGTCTGGCGGCCAGGGGCGGGGGGCTTCCTTCAGGAGGGGAAGAAACACACAGACACAATTAATCGTCGACTCCCGGGAAAATATGCAAACATATGGGAAGTGAGGGGGAAGACAGAAACCCAGAAAATATGGGAAAATATGGAGAATATTTTTATTTGTGTGTATTTATTTGTGTGTCCTGGGGCCCCTTCATTCCTGCAGGCACGGGGGGGGGGGCCTTGCGCGAAGCAGGGCTCGAGCTAATAATCTGTGTTTTGGCAATTTCGTGGGCCGTTTTCGTTGTGACTTCGCTCTGCAGCACATGTGGAACGAAGGCAGAGCTAGGGATGACGAAGACAAGACGAAAACGGAAAACACTGTTCAACTCGAGCCCTGGCGCGAAGGTAGTCGCGGGGGCGCGAAGATAGTCGCGCTTCGCGCGCCGCGGCCCGGGCCGGAGCGGCCGCCCTCCTCCACGGCGGCCGCGCGGGGGGGCGCGGGGGCGCGAGGATGACCGACCGCGCGCCGCGCACCGCGTGGCGCGAGGCGCGAAGTCAGGCTTAAGGCCGGCCTGTCCCTCTACGGGGAGCTTGGGCTAAGAATTCAAAATGCCCCCTAGAATATTCAAACATGGTCAAAAAGTGCCCCCCTTCTTGAAACAACTATTTTTGAATATTCCCCCTTGTAGAGGGACAGGCCCGACCTAAAGTTAGGTGACCCAGAGGAGAAAGGGGGGGGATCTTCAAGAACAGTCAAAAAATAGTATGGGGACGAGTTTTGGCTATTTTCGAGCACTTGTGCAGCATTCTTGGGGTATGTTTAAGTCTTCGCCCAAAATCCCCCTGTAGGAGGACAGGCCCGACCTAAAGTTAGGTGACCCAGATGAGACAGGGGGGGGATATTCAAGAATAGTCAAAAAATAGTCTGGGGACGAGTTTTGGGCTATTTTCGAGCACTTGTGCAACATTCTTGGGGTGTGTTTCATTTTTCGCCCAAAATCCCCCTGCAGGGGGACAGGCCCGACCTAAAGTTACTAGGTGACCCAGATGAGACAGGGGGGGGATCTTCAAGAATAGTCAAAAAATAGTCTGGGGACGAGTTTTGGGCTATTTTCGAGCACTTGTGCAGCATTCTTGGGGTATGTTTCATCTGTCGCCCAAAATCCCCCTGTAGGAGGACAGGCCCGACCTAAAGTTAGATGACACAGATGAGACGGGGGGGGGGAACTTCAAGAATAGTCAAACATAGCCCAAAATCCCCCTGTAGGAGAGGCCCGACCTAAAGTTAGGTGACCCAGATGAGACGGGGGGGTGGGGGCCCTCGTCGCCACGGCTGAACGCATCTCGTAAAATAGGTGCGTCTGGGCCCAGGGTGGGGTCCTAGGATTCGTTTTGCGTTGCCGATGTCTCGAGTCGTCCTGCTCCGACAGTGGCACCTCTAGCTCTGATCTGGATCAGCTCGCCTCTGTGGTCCAAGCATGCCAGCGAGGGGCGAGCTCCCAGTGTTCCAAGATCATTGCTCGGGTAGGGTCAGGTCTGTCTCCCGGGCTAGAATCTGCAAGTATGGTTTCTTGTAGCCATAGCCGTAGCCGACGAACGAGGGAAGGAGGGAGGGAGGGAGGGAGGGGGACGGGGGACGGGGGAGAGGGAGAGGGAGAGGGAGTCGGAGAGGGGGAGGGGGATGGAGAAAGAGAGGAACAGAGAGAGACAGAGAGAGAGAGAGAGAGACAGAGGAAGAGGCAGAGGGGCAGAGAGGCAGAGACACAACGAGACAGAGCAGGAGGGAGGAGCGGCAGAGCGGGAACGGCCGCAGCAACACCACGGGCACGAGGAGGAGGAGGAGGAGGAGGAGGAGGAGCAGGAGCAGGAGGAGCAGGAGCAGGAGCAGGAGGAGCAGGAGGAGCAGGAGGAGCAGGAGGAGGAGGAGGAGCAGGAGAAGCAGGAGGAGGAAAAGGAGGAGGAAGAGGAGGAGGAAAGAGCAGGAGGAGGAGGAAAGAGCAGGAGGAGGAGGAGGAGGAGGAGGAGGAGGAGGAGGAGGTGGAGCCGAAGGTGGGGGGCGGGCGGAGGGAGGGGGAGGGAGGAGGTGGCGCCGAAGGCGGGTAATCAAGGGGCGGAGGGAGGAGGTGGAGCCGAGGGTGGACGGGAGACTGCCGCAGCTGCCCCTCCTGCCGCAGAGGGAGGAGCAGCTGCGGCAGTCCCTCTGCCGGCGCTGCGGCGTCGCGCGCGGCCGCCCCTTGGGACGAGGCCCGGCGCACGGGCCCGGCCCGGCGGCCGGATGTTGTCGTCGGGCAGCCGCGGGGAAGCGAGCGGCCTGGAGCATGCGGCCGCGGCGCCCGTCTCTTCCGCGAGCGCTCCCACGCGCGCGAGGAGAGGACGAGGAGGAGGCAGAGGAGGAGGAGGAAGAGGAGGAGGACCCGCGCAAGCCTAAGACCCATCAAAGTTATCGTCAAAAAACACTCCATACATGTTCCCTCGTCATGAACCCCATGTAATGGTTCATCGGCACTCAGGGAAGCGCCCCGTTGGAAGGCAACCGTTTGACAACTGTTTGAAGATCTTGAACGGCGCCAGAACACCATTCCTGGGAGCTCAACGCCGCGAATCAGCGGTACTGCTGCGACTCGACGATCCTGAACCCTGCCAGGACGCCATCCCTGGAACGCCAACACCGCGAATCAACGTAACTGTTGCGCCCTGACAGTCCGACTTCGTGCCAAAACACGACTCTGGGACGGTAGCCATGAGAATCCTTCGAACTGTTGCACCCTCTTCGAACCAATTTGCACGGCGCTACGGCGAGAGCCACATTTGGAGAGCCACATTTGAAAGCGGCCCGCCCTCGATCCGTGAAGCTTCTGCAAATGTTTAAGGAGCCACATGTTGAAAGCGGCCCGCCCTACATCCGTGGAATTTCTGCAAATATTTCAGGGGCGAGAGCCACATTGTGAGCGCGGCCCGCCCTCCATCCGTGAAGCCCTTGCAAGCGTGCCAGCCTAAGGAGCATGGATGGTGACCCAGACGTGATCCCGTCGTGAAAAAATCGAGATGGGCGGGTTTTCAGAATTCTCGGGCCCTGGGGGCCCTCGCCGGGCCTCGGGAGCGTCAAACAACGCCTCAGGATGAAAAGCCGGTCCTGGGGAAAGGATTCCCTTCGGGGATCATCCGTTAAAATTGGAACGATACAGAGAAGATTAGCATGGCCCCTGCGCAAGGATGACACGCACAAATCGAGAAGTGTATACAATTTAATATATAAAAGAAAGCCGGTCCTGGGGAAAGGGTCCGGACTTCCGGGGACGCCGTCCTGAAAAGATCCGGACGTCGCACGCCCGGGAAGAAGTCTCGGGCGAAACGCCGGGCCCGCCCTACCGACACGCCTCGGGGTGCGACAGGGAAGAGTCATTCACAAGGCGAGGGAATGGAGGAGGAGAAGGAGGAGGAGGAATGAGGCTCCTGTGGACTGGTCTGGGGTGGCGTGCTGCGCATCGGGCGAGTTCTCACACTCGGGGTTCGCACCTCTGGTACCGCCTGCCGTTGGCATCAAAACATCGTACGTCCATGCCGCCCATCAGCATCGTCGACCTCTTCGGCGTCCGGCTCGTACACACTCGCACAACGGGCGTTTTCGCTCCATTTCGGGCCCTGGGGCCCTCACAGATCGATTTGGTTCGAAAATGGCGCACAAAGATTGGGTCCGGGGCTCCAGCCGCAATTGCTTGTGATGTTGTGCGTTTCTGCAACACCAGATCTCAGGATTCTCGTCTCCAAGGCTGGGTCCACCTCGAAGGACGGGTCAGAGCGGATCCGAATAAGGGCTAGGTGACCGGTTCTGAGCGGGATTGGGCCAGGCAGAAAAGCCGCCGTTGTCTCGGTTCGCCTTCTGGTGCAAGACCCCGTGTCTTTCGTCGCTCACCCGTTCATCCTGGTCACTCCTCGGCACATCCAAGCATCAAATAAGAAACCGATGCGCAAACAGTATTTCTCAGAGCTCCGCAAAGTTTAGGTCTATGCAGCTTGTTGTCCCTCTATCCAAGACGCCCGCCCGTTCCCTGCAAGCGTAGTGGATTCACTTCCAGTGTTTGGAGCAAACGTCGCGGTCACGGACCCCCTTTGCTTGCTCTTTCTCCGCAAGCCCCAACTGAGGGCACATCACCCATCACCGTGGTTTTCGAATTTCAGGATGGCCCCGAGATGTTTATTCGAGGGCCCAAGCTTGCCATCTAGACGGCCCAAGACCTGTCCAAGTCGGCTCAGGATGCTTGACTCTGGAGCAAGTCCCTCCCTCGTCCTCGTCTTCCCCCCTTTTCCTCCGTCCTCATATTCTTTCCCGCCAAATCTACCTCTCCGCGTTCCCCCTGTCATGTCCTCCTTGTTCTCCCTCTCCCCCCCTTCGAAATCCCTCCTCTGCCCATGTTCTCCCCTAGGCGCCCCTCTCTCCTGATCCCCTCATTCCCCGCACCCGCACTTCTGGTGAGAGTGTGCGGGCCCCGTTGGCTCCTACCTGCCACTCGTTCTCGTGGCCGCCGCCGCTTGGGCCCCACGACATGCGTGAGCCGCACCGCCGCTCCGCTGGCGCTCCAGAGGCGATGGGCCACCCGACGGGCGCGGGGAGCTTTGGGGCGATGACGCCGCGAGGCCGCGCGCAGCCGGACGGGCTCGCCGAACGCGGGTCGCTGGAGGACGGCGCCGGGTGCGACGGGGTCGACGCGCAGCTCAGGGTGTCCGTTCCAGAGTGGCGCGGAGCGTCGCCCACGATCTCGCCACGACTCCCCTCGAACTGCAGCCTGGAGCGAAATCTGGAGCGGGAGTCCCCCCAGGAGTCCATGTTCGGGGAGTTCCTCTGCGCCGACACCGTGCAGAGAACCACGTACCAGGATCAGCCCGTGCGGTACTTCCTGTTCATTATCCTCGAGAGCAACGTGGTGAAGTCTCTGGTCGGCCTCGCCACAATCTTGAGCTTCGTGGGCGTGGTCAAGGACACCGACGCACGTGCGACGGGCAGCCCTCTGCCCGAGTGGGCAACCCTGATGGAGCACGCCCTCGTCGCGATCTTCGCCCTGGAGCTGGCTCTCCGCCTCTACGTCGAGAGGACCGAGGCGCTGCGCAGCCTGCACAATGTAGCCGACATCCGGCCGTGCTGCCGCGCGGGTCCGCCGATGCGCGCCCTTGAGGGGGGGGGGGGGGGGGGGGGGGGGCTCCGCGGGCCGCGGAGCCGTGCAGCGCGCTCCGCGGGAGGTCGGCCGAGGCGCTCCAGGCACGCGCCTCGCCTCCGGTGAGGTCGAGGACGGGGCACCTCTTCCTCGGCCCCGGACCCCCTTCGAGTCATGAAAAGATCACGACGGGAGGTTTTTCGCTATTTTCGGCTTTGGGGGGCCCTCACCGGCCCTCAGGACCGTCAAAAAAACGATTCCGGACGAGAAACCAGTCCCGGGGAATGGGTCGAGACCTCTGGGGGTCGCGTCAGGAAAAAATCACGACGTCGGGGGTCTGTGGGCGGAAGGCGACGGAGGGCCAGCGGCAGGCGGCTGGCAGGGTCCGCATGCAGTTCCACCTCCAGGTCGGCGCACCCCTCACACGCTTCGTGGCCCATGGGGTGCTCCGCCGAAGGCCTCGAGAAACGGTGGCGCTTCGAGAATGGTGGCTCTTATGCTAGTAGCACCCTATGTATAAGTATCGCAAGTAACATAGCTACTTTCATGAGCTACTTATGGGTACTTACTAAGATACTTATAAGTAACTTAAGTTGATGTTCTTAAGTTACTTAAGCTAACACTATAAGATACTTATAAGTTACTTAGGGAAACGAAGCGATCGCGATCGCTTGGGAGGAGGAGGAGGAGGAGAGCGATGTCGATCGCTGTGAGGGGGGGGAGGGGGGGAGGAGAGTGATGAGCGCGGCGGGGCGCGCGGCCTCCTCACCGCGCGCGGCCGCGTCCTCAGTGTACGCGCGGCCTCCTCACCGCGCAGGGGGCTCATCCTCAGGGGCCGCCTCGCCGCCCTGCCCGTCGCGGAAGGCGGCCAAGCAGATCGCCTCCGCCTCGCTCAACGCCTGCAGCTCGGCCTGCTGTTGGAGCCGCCTGGGGACGCTGGAGTCGTTCCACCCATCCCCGCCCAGGGACACGAGCAGCTCCACCAGCTCATCCTCGGTGGGAGGGCGCACGGTGGCGCTTTCGAACTCCCACGAACGCTGGACCTCCATGGCCTGCTCCCTCTCGGCCGACGCCATCTGCGAGCGCTCCCAAGCCGCAAGGTACTCGGCGTACGCGAGCTCCGCCTCCTGCTCCGCGGCGTCGCCGTAGAGCTTCTTCTCGGCCGCGGCCTTGGCGGCTTGGGTGACGCGTCGCCAGATCATCTTCGCCCTGGCTTCGGCGATGATCCAGCCTCCACCCTCGGCAGTTGCGGCTGCAACCTCGAGGCGCGGCCGCTTGGGTGGCGGCGGCGGCGCCGCGTCCTTGGAGGTGGCCGCAACGAAAGCGGCGGGCGACGGCATCTTGAAGAACTTCGCGTTGGCCATATTCGGCCACGGGCCGCCTCGCGGCAGCGGGACACTGGACGGCTTCGCGCCGACCAGCCCAGGTGGCAGCGGTTCCGAGGGGAGATCGCCCATGACGCGCCCCCTCCTGCGCGCGCGCGCGCCGTCGCTTGGCCGCGAGCGCCCCGTGCGTCACTCGCGAGGCGAGCCGAAACGGCTGAGCAATCGCCGTCATCGCGAGCCCATCGTCGCCAACGCCCGCCCGAGCGATCGCCATCGCTCCACCCATATTCCCACCCGCGCCCGAGCGATCGACATCGCTCTCCTCCTCCTCATCATCGTCATCCTCCTCTTCCTCCTTCTCCTGCCTCCTCCCCCTTCCAAGCGATCGACATCGCTTCGCCTCCCCCAGCGATCGGCGTCGCTCTCTTGCTCCTCATCCTCCTCCTCCTCCTCGCGGCGATCGAGATCGCGAGCCCCCCTGGCTGCCTATGCAAATCCCGCGGCCCCACTGGCTGCCCATGCACATCGCGATCGGCATCGCTACTCCTCCTCCTCCCTCCGCAGCCCCCTGGCTGCCCATGCAATCCTGCTCCTCCTCATCCTCCTGCTCCTGCTCCTCCTGCTCCTCCTGCTCCTCCTCCTCCTCCTCCTCCTCCTCCTCCTCCTCCTCCAAGCGATCGCCATCGCTACCTCCCCCAAGCGATCGACATCGCTATCCCCCCCCAAGCTTCTTGTTGGCGCGCGCAGCCTCGCGCCGCCTCACTGCGGGGGCGCAGGCCGCGGCGGCGGGGGCGGCTCAGTCAGGGCGTCCGTGGACGACCCTGGGCGCCCGTCGCCGCCCGTGAGCCCCTCCTCACGGGGGGGGGGCCACCGCGGCGGGGGCGGCTTCGTCAGGGCGTCGGCCATGGCCACCGCCGACGCCATGGCCGCCTCCGCCTCGGGGGCGTCGCACAGCCTCTGCAGGCGGATGATCGTCATCGCGTCCTGCTTGAGCTGCGCCAGCGCCGCCGCATGCACCGCGGCGCGGCGGCGCGCGACGCCCAGCAGCTCGGCGGCCCGATCCAGCTCGACGTCGCGCATGTCGATCTGGAGGGCCAAGTGCCGCGCCACCTGGGGGGGTCGTCGTCGTCGTCGTCGCCGCCGCCGCCGCCGTCGTCGTCGCCGCCACCGTCGTCGTCGTCGTCGTCGTCGTCGTCGTCGTCGTCGTCGTCGTCGTCGTCGTCGTCGTCTCGTCGTCGTCGTCGTCGTCTTATCCGCCTCCTCCTTCTCCGCCCGCAGCTGGGCGTTCGCCGCGCGCAGCTGCTCGACCTCCCCGCGCAGCTGCTCCACCTCCCCGAGCAGCCGCTCGGGCAAGCTCGCCTCAGTCGTCGCCGTCTTCGTCGCCGTCGTCGCATCGTCGTCGTCGTCTCGTCGTCGTGCGCGGCCGCCTTCGGCCAGCTCGAGGCGCGCTTGCGCGCGGCCGCCAGGGGCAGCGTCGCGCCTGCCCCGCGCGGGCCCAAGGGGCAGCAGCGCGCCAAAGCTGAACGGTTGCGCGCTGCGCGCAGTGATCTTATTTTCCCCCCCCCACCCCCCGCCCATCTTCCAGCGATCGATATCGCTATCCTCCCTCCTCCGCCACCTCCTCCTCCTGCTCTTCCTCCTTCAAGCGATCGACGTCGCTTCGCCTCACCCAGCGATCGGCATCGCTCGATTTTCTTTTCCGTCCCCCCCTCCTTCCAGCGATCGGCATCGCTTTCTCCCTCCCCCTCCTCCTCCCCCTCCTCATCCTCCTCCTCCTCCTCTCATCTCCTCACCCAAGCGATCGACATCGCTTCGCCTCACCCAGCGATCGACATCGCTCCCCCCGCGCACACACACACACCGCGGCGCGGCGCATGTTTCCATCTGTTTCTCAGCGCGCGTGCGCGATGATATAGTCACCGCTGCTCTTCACGCGCCACGCCCAGACAGCGCCATCCAGGTCAGCGTCGGACATCTTGATGACGAGGAGCTCGTTCACCACGCTGCCAGTGCTGAGGCCGCACGCGCCCGTTGAGATCTCGATCCCGCGGGCGACGATGTGCAGTTCGCCAGAAATCTCCGCGCACGCGTCGATGATTAACACCTCGCCGCCGCGCGAGCGAACCACCTGGCCCGCGTTGTAGGCGTTCCCTTCCCAGCGCAGCCCCCTGGCCACGGAGACGTCGGCGGCCCCGACTACGGAGCGCAACCCGTCAGATTCGGCACGCGCTCCCACCAGCGAGTTGCCCGTCGGCCTCATCTTCTCGAGTTGCCGCACTTGCTGCAATACGCAGCCCGCGAGCGTCGTGGCCTCCATGCGCGCGGTGTTCTCCACTGGTTCGGCCACCGCCTTTGCAACCTTATTGTGGCGCTCCGTCACGAAGCAGTCGAGCTCTTTTGGCTCCTGCTCCGCGTTGTGAAACACGTAGTGGTGTTTGGGCATCACGTATTTGGTGCCGTACGTCTGCTTGCGCAAGTTGAGATGGACTTCAGCCGCTGCAATGAAGTCACTGCGAGGGGGGGCACGCCCGCGCTTGACCTTCAGGAACGCGTCCGCCAGCAGGCCGCACGCCCGAAGGGACGCTATTTCGCGCTCGAGCGACCCGATGCGGACGGCGCGCTCCTCGGCGAACGCCAAAAGGACGAAGAAGGTCGAGATCAGCTCGCTGGCGCCTGCTTTGAATGATTTCTTGCACGCGGTCTCGTGCCCAGGCGTGAACATATATTTTGCCGTTCTGCCGTGCGACCTCGGGAACTGCCAGCGCCGCGTGAACGCGTGAAGCTCGGGCCATCCGATGCCAGCTTTTCTCTGGCACGCCTTCACAAACGCGAACACCTCCCAGCCAACGGTGCCATTGCTCCATAGGTTGTGCATGCTGTCATACGTCATGGCGGACGGCTTCACTATCGCCCGCAATTCCTTATCCTCCAGCAAGCCATTGGGATGGTAGTTGAAGCCGCTGGCTTTGTCGAGCTTCTGGAAGTTGCCCTTCGTCACGTGGCCAGGCTGTCCCGCGGTCGCCGCCGCTGCGGCGAGGTCGTCCCGCAGTTTCCACACGTCGGCGCCTGAATGACGATCGAAGCGCGCGTGCTCGTGACAACAGGTGTCGACGAAGTAGCCGCCGTCGCCGTCGACGGAACCGCCCTTCAAGATCACGTTCCTGCATCGCAAGCAAGGCCTCCAGCCGTTGGCACCCCGCAAACGCAGAACGCCTTTGAACGCATCCATGTCTGCGAGAAGATTGGAGAGGCGCGCCCGCACCAGCATCGGAGCGCCGTTGGCCAGCCCCACGTGCGCGCCAGCTCCCGCGAGCCTGGAGGATCCGAAGAACATCTCCCTGATGGGGAGTCGAGTGGCACAGGAGATGCCGCCGTCCACGCGATTGCTCGCTTTCGTTCGCAGACACCCCAGCGGTAGCCACAGCTCTTCCCTCCATAGCATGTCAGCCCCGAACTCCAGGAACGTGAAGAAGATCATCCAGAACTTCCGATCGTGCCTCAGGGCCAGCGCGTCGCCTGGTGTCACTTCGTCCATGTACAGCACCAGCGAGAGCGGCGCGCCGCGGACGCGGTTCGCGACCACCGCGAGAAGCTCACTCTACACGGGGCTGGCCTTGCAAACCTACCGCAGGAGCTGGTCGATTT